ATATTGCCAATTACATGTTGGGGTTTTTCTTTAAAAAATAAAACACTAACAGAGGAAATGAGGAACAGATTTGCTGAGGAGAAATAGATTGTAAGATTTGGCCATGGAAAAGTTATTGAGAGGAAAGCACAGCTGGAGAAGCCCTCAACACAAGCACCAGTACAACCACAATCAGTTGAAAGAGTGACGACAGCTCTGAAGAAAATGACCTCAAGTATTGCGTAGTTTGGAGAGATCATGGCAGAGATTGGGACAAAAAACTCTGCGGTGGATATAATAAAAAATATATTCAATAACTTCTACCAGTCCACAAACATCACACCAAGCCGCAATCCAACCCCACCAGAGAGCTTGCTGAGGGATGATGATTTGTTCAACACGCCTCCTGATTTCCCTGCCCCTTCTTTTAATCTATTGACACCGACACCACCACATTCACCACATGATGCTACTACTCCCATTGCAATTGCCGAGGAGACAAAAACAGCAACAGCAGAGCTAGCAGCAACAACAGAGCCAGAACCAACTGCAGATCCAACAGCAACAACAGAGCTAGAACCAACTGTAGATCTAGCAGCAGCAACAACAGTACAGCAAGTAACAGCAGTAACACCACCACCATCAGCTCCAAGAACATCACACCCAACAACTTCACTGCCATCAACCCCATTGACCCCCATTGCAACAATTATAGAGAACTTGGTTGATGATATTTCTAAAAGATCAAAAGACCCACTGCCACCGTCAACACCATATGAACTAGAATTTGACAGGTATAAATTGAATGCTAAATATACTTGTTTTTATATGTATTTTGTTATGATTTTATGTGTATTCTATTATATAATTTTGTACACTGAGGATCCATTTACCTAAACTTATGATTATGTGTATTCTGTTAGTAATTTATATGTATTATATTATATCATTTTCTACATTCTGCTTTTAAATTCCATACCTCAATAGCTATAAATGGTATTTATGCAAATATCTGTCTAGCTTATTATGTTAAGTGTTTATCTGAATGCACATGATGATAAAATTGCTTACTGTGTCTACTCAACATCATTGCTGAGTCTAGAGATGAAATGGAAGATGTCCAGAAAAGGAAAAGGCCATATCGAAAATTCAAACAACTGCCATTACACTTGCGGTCCCCATACTGGGGAGAGAACCTCTCGAAGCTTAAAAATATTTCAGTCAAGGAGAAAATCATATTAGATTATGCCTTCATGCCAAGCAGTGATGACTACTCAGAATAGTATGAGTTTCTTCTCATCCTTCATTAATTACACACAGAAATATTATTTCATAGACTTATGATTATGTGTATTATGACTCTTACTAAATTCAACTATATAATTTATTTTTTTAATTTTTGGCAGTGAAATGTTGTTTAATACAGATAGTATGTTTGCCACACGGGAGGACTTCAGGACATTGGCGGCAGAACAAGAATCTATCAACATTCTTCAAATTTGGTCTCAAATGATGAATGTAATTGACATGCAAAGAGCTGTTGATCAGCCAAAGAGATTCTTTTTCTCGGTAGCCGCTTATGTAAGTAAACAATATAACATGAACTTATTTTTTGTTTTGTTTTGTTTTGACAGATTATATGACAATCATCAATTCCTTTTACAGATGCTACTAGAAAAAATGCAATTGAAGGATGTGAAAAAAAATGCGATCGATTTCTCTAATAACCTCGATTATCAGTTGAGATCAGTATGTGTTGATAACAACCTCGATTAACATATTGTAAGTATAAAATATCTATACCCTAAATATGTTGATGTTTCTTGTACTTGATTTTATGTGTATTCAGTTAGATGTTTATGTGTATTATATTATAAAATTATGTACATTTCGATATTCAATGTCATACCTCACTAAGAATAAATGATGTCTCTTATACTAATAATTATGAGTATTATATTAAGAGTTTATGTGTATTCAACTGTATATTTCTGTACATAATACAATATGTTATATTTATTGTAATTTTTTATAACAGATCTTCTTCAATATATTACTACATTAGCATTACTTTTTGATATGCTTCAACTTTCTGAACAACAAAATTCAATTGATTGACAACAAGAAATTGCCTGAAGGGATAACAAACAAGGACAAGTATCAGGATTTCCCATCAAAATTAGTAATATATGCTTTTACTAATATTTTATATCTATGTTCTTAAATTTTAATATATTTATATTTCTCAGATTATCTAAACACTATTATAATAACTACATTCTACAGGTGAGTGCGTTCACCAAGTACCTACAAGCAAAGAGAAATCCCCTTGCTAAAAAGATGAGCAGTGTGAAAATACAGTATTTGGAAATGCCATGGAAAGTCAGTGACAATGTAACAGATTGTGGCATATATTGCATGAGACACATGGAAACATACAAAGGGACATCATTTGAACATTGGGAACCAGGATTCACAGGAGGTTTAGAAGATGTAAGTATACAAATATTCAACTTTGTTCCATACTACATGTTTTACCCTTCGTTTCTAACTACTTTTCCATTATCTTGTTTTGTAGCAAAATTTAATTGCATCGATGCGAGCAAAATATGCAGCTAACATAATTATGTGGCCAAAGAATACATCACTGCCAGTCATCACAGCAGCTGCAAGGAAGAAATATAAAAAATCGAACTGAATCTTATTCTGATGTCTGTAGATTTTGGCTTGTAATCCTCAACTGTTACTGGTTAAACATGGTGTACTTTTTGACAACGTTATGTGGTGAGCTACTTTCTATAGCGTTTCATTTGTAATTACATTTCTGTACATTTTAGCTATTACTTATATTCATTTTATATATAATACTCTATATATGACATATAAAAAATGTGGACACATTGCATCGAGTAAATAAAATGTTTGCACTTTCAATTTCTGTGCAACTACGTTATAATTATGTGTATCATCAAGGTCTCATGAAGGGAAAATCTGTGTATTAAATAATATGATTCTGTACATTTTGAAATTTGTTAATTAAGATTTTCAAACAAAAGAAATTTGTTAATTAAGACAACTATTTTGTATTAAAATGTTTATAATTGCATAATATAACGTACAGAATTTTACGAACACACACCGTAATACACATAATAATAATTAATAAACTGATCAAACAAAATTCAAAATGTACAGAATTTATAGATGAATACACATAAACTCATCACATAAAACACATAACACTAAAAGAGTTATCATCAAACTAAGCTTTGATTATCCTTTGGAACTGTAATTGGCCTAACTTGACCAAAATTTAAACCTCCAGAACTTGGATGCACAAGATAGCCATCTCCAGCAATACTAGAAATAGCATCTTCAACTTGAGCCTGAACAACTGATTTTATTTTAGCTGCAACCATATGAGCAATACGCTTTCATCCCCTTGCTATATTGTATTTCTTTGAAATAACACTACTCACCCTCCTATTACGCAACCCTTTTAATCGCCTGCTTGATGGATCCTTTATAACACCACTAGATGATTCTGTATCACATTCTTCAAAAAAAAAAAAAAAGGATCACAATCAGCTTCAACTCTTCTCTTGGTATCTACAACTGCTTGTTCACATATTTTTCGTCCTTCATTGTTTTCTTAACAACAAACAGCCAACCTTTGAAATTTCCTAGTGATTCCTAACATCCAAACAGAAGAGACATCATTAACACTCTGAGATGATGATGTGATATCAACATAGTCATCTCCAACAACTTTTTTAGTCCATCTTTTCAAAATATATTTCTCCGGGACTTCAGACACGCAATGCACATTAAAAATGCGTAAACAGTGGCAGCATAGAATCCTCATCTCTATAAACATCTTGCAACTACATCCAACATTAAGTTCTCTAAATTTAAGAATCACTTCGTGCCTAATAATATCAAGATCAGGCCTCCAAACATGATACTTATACACATCATGTTCAAATGAAACACACTCTTGATAACATGCTGCACCTTTTAAAAATTGTTCCTCAAACAAGTAATATATCTCAATTGTATAGATTTCCCTAGCATGTAAAAGAATCTTAACATGGTCCATAGCCATTGTAGGTACACCTTGTGAACAACGAATATCTTCCTCACCCTCTCTACTTCTCCACTCCGAGACAACACCAATAAATGAACTATAAAAGTCACACAGTCCAGCAGTATTGGATAGCCTTCTAGAAATAGAGGGATTTGTAGTTTCACTCCTTTGTAAAGATAAAATACCACCCGAAAAATAGTCTTTATTAAATGCAGGGCACCATTTTTCTCTACATTGATAAAGCTTTTCAAGCCAAGTATTATTATGACATTTGTATGTAGTAACCATCCTGAAATAACATAATTATATAGTATTAAAACACATAAACTAATAATATATACATAATGTTATAACATAATACACATAAAGTATCAACATAATACACATAAACATTAATGAAGAATATATCAGAATCCATACCTTGTCCAGTAAAACTCAAATCCTGCCTCTGTATTAGTACATTTCAGCAAGCAATTGAATATGTCTAAAAAATCTTTTTGAATTCTTAATCCTTTACTATGCTTCTTTGAATTCTCACCAATGTGCCATACACATAACCGATGCCGTGTGCTTGGAAAAACTTGAGCAATAGCAACAGCCATAGCAGCGCATTGATCAGTCATTATACTTTGTGGTCTTCTGTAATCCATAGACCTCAAAAACGTCTTAAACAGCCATACAAATGACTCAGTCTTCTCATTCATCAAAAAGTCACATCCAAACATGACATTCATGCAATGGTGATTCATCCCAACAAACGGACCACAAATCATATCATATTTGTTAGTACGATATGTTGTATCATGAACTAACAAAATCTCTAAGCAATTCATAATCTCGCCTCATTTGTCCATCCCTCCAAAAAAAAACTACACAATCGTGACTCACAATCAACTTCAAAATCGAAGTAAAAATCCTTTTCACTTGACTGCCTTCATCTAAATATTTCAATCAATGTATTTGAGTCAGTCCCATCCAATTTTTTCAATGCATCAGTACATAAAGGGTTGTATGCATCCCTACTTGTGAAACCAACACGCGGTGATCCACTCGACTGTGTTTTTATAAACCTTATACCATCTGCCACAAAAACACCACTCTTCTTCAAATCCTTTAGATAAGAAAGATGATTCCTAGACACCATTCTATGTGACTGTAGATGGTAACTCTTGCTCGGTGGAACCAAATCATGATTATGCAACTTTTCATGCTTTGAAGCAGTCCACATCCCATTCCCATCTACATCAAATTGAACAAGTGCAGGACAACATGTTCGACCATCAACTTTAGCATAACAACCCTTTCCTAAATTCCTTTTAAATCCAGCCTTTGAAAAATGAAACGTCTTCGTCTTCACTGTTTTCATAGCACCACTATATCTTTGCTTACCCTTCCTCACACTAAAACCTAATCTAAAAGCATATTCATTATACATGTCATATGTTTCATCAATCGAACACACTGACATCCCTACCAAATTCTGATCAACTACAAATCACATAAAAGGTTAAGTACCCCTAAGATGAATGTACATAATCCTAAACCCTGATACACATAATAAATACTCGTAATACTCATAATCATAAGCATAAGGAACATCTATTATGTATGCTAACTTATATAACAACTGACAATCTTAATGTACATTATCTTATACCAAAAAACACATAAACTACCAACATGATACACATAAACATAATTCTAACTAATATGTAACCCTAGCCAGAATACACATAATCCTAAAAAGCAAACGGGACATTTGCTATTATGCATCTTAATGTGCATATTCATAACAACAATACACATTAAAACAACCCTAGATTGACAAACACGTATATTGCTAGAAACTTATCAGAAAATACGCAGTCTCCAATACAAACACAATCAAACTAAATTGAAAATACGCATATCAACTACAAATTCAATCTCTATGAAACAAATATCATATACGAATTCAATCATATGCATCACCAACAAAACTATAAAACAAGCGAAAAATCAAAAATAAAAAAAACCCGGAGCATCATCCTCTATAACTGCTAAATGAACCAGATCATTACCTTCGTCTGTCACTGCAATCTCCTGTTGCTCAATCACATCATCTATGTCTGGAAAACACTAGATACGAAAATCAAATTGCAAAGATGAGTGCGATAAAGAATGTGCCAAGTTGAACAACACGGATGAAAACAAAAATAACGACGAAGGTTTTGATAAATAAACAACGTTAACCCAGAATCTTAACTGCCAAAAAAAGCCCGTTATTATGACGAAACAAAAAGACGTCATTTTCAACCAGGGCGCACAGTGCAATGCGCACCCTGGTGCACGATATAGTTTTCCCTTGAGAGGAGTCTAGTCTATTTTCATCCCTACTTATAAATAAATTTTTAAATTTGAATATTATATACAAATAAAATGAAATAAATATTAAAAGTTGTGGGCTAAGTGTTAGGACTACTGCAGAAAATAGATATTACGATAAATTTTTTTGCACAAATACAGCAATTTACTAAGTGTTGTATAAGTGACCAACGTAGTAAATAAATACTATATAAAATGGTTGTTTAGAAAAGTCGTATATTAAATACCACATACGACGGTTGTCTAGAAACGCTATATATTAAATATCTTATACGGCTACTTAATATACGACGATATTTAAAACTCGTATATAATATTTAATATATATATATATATATATATATATATATATATATATATATATATATATATATATATATATCTCGAGTACACGCAATGGAACCGTAAATGGTCAAGTGAAATCCACTCGAGGAAAGAATTTGATCTATGGATAGCATCGTTGTCGTAAAGGTCGTAATGTCAGAGGAATCATTACCGCAAGGCATAGAGGGCGAGGTCATAAGCGTCTATACCGTAAAATAGATTTTCGACGGAATGAAAAAGACATATATGTTCGAATCGTAACCATAGAATACGACCCTAATCGAAATGCATACATTTGTCTCATACACTATGGGAATGGTGAGCAGAGATATATTTTACATCCCAATGGGGCTATAATTGGAGATAGCATTGTTTCTGGTACAGAGGTTTCTATAAAAATCGGAAATGCCCTACCTTTGACCGAAATGCCCTTAGGCAGGCTATACATAACATAGAAATCACACTTGGAAAGGGTGGACAATTAGCTAGAGCAGCGGGTGTTGTTGCAAAACTAATTGCAAAAGAGGAAAAATGAGCCACAATAAAATTACCTTCTGGGGAGGTCCGTTTGATATCCAAAAACTGCTCGGCAACAGTCGGACAATATATATATATATATATATATATATATATATATATATATATATATATATATATATATATATATATATATATAAGCGGTTGTGCGGTTTAATCTGGGTCATTCATCTCCCTTAAATTAACGTCCAGGATTATCAAAATTTAAAAAAAAAATGCGGTGGCAATTTTGTAATTTTTGCATCTAGGTCAAAATTAAGGTGAGCGGTTCTGTGATTAATGTGCGTGAGTTTTGTATATAAGATGCGTGAGTCTTGTGCGTAAGGTGCGTGAGTTTTGTGCTTAATGTGCGTGGGGTTGTGCTTAATGTGAGTAGTTAAAATTTAAAGTGTGGGCTTTTGTGCTTATGGTGCGTGAGACTTGTTCTTAATGTGAGTGGAGTTTTGGGACAAATTAATGAGAAAAAACAAATAAAAAAAATCTTTTCTTTCATTACATTTACATAATTGCTGCTATATATTTTCTTTTTGTTTATGCCTATAACTCGATCTGCTAACAAAGAAGTCTTGCCATACCATCCAGAAATTAAAAGAACTGTACACAGGTGGAGGAAACAAGCTTCGAGAAAATTGAAGTGGTGATCTGGCTACCAATTCTACCAATTTTGGTTTAGAAGAGGAACTCATGGCTCAAAATCGAACTTTAAAAGAGCTTGGAGCTCCAAATTTATATCAGCAACCTTTATGCATCACCTTTCCCGCTCTGGATGCCAATGTGCAATTCGAATTCAAATCTGGATTAATTCACCTTTTGCCTTCTTTTCATGGATTTGCAGGTGAAGATCCTCACAAATACTTAAAGGAATTTCATGTGGTGCGTTCAAGTATGAAACCCACAGGGGTTACTGAAGAAGAAATCAAATTGAGAGCCTCCCCCTTTTCTTTGAAAGATTCAGCGAAGGATTGACTATATTATTTACCCTCCGGAAGCATCACCACATGGAATAACCTGAAAACAGCGTTCCTTGAAAAATATTTCCCAGCTTCGAGGGCAGCCAACATTAGAAAGGAAATCTGTGGTATAAGGCAAAACAATGGAGAGTCATTGTATGAATATTGGGAGCGTTTCAAAAAGCTTTGTGCAAGCTGCCCTAACCATCAAATTAGTGATCAATTACTCATTCAGTACTTTTATGAAGGACTTTTCCCAATGGATAGAAGCATGATTGATGCCGCAAGCGGTGGTGCGTTAGTTGACAAGACACCAGATGCTGCAAGAACCCTAATTGCAAACATGGCTGCAAATTCTCAACAGTTTAGCAATAGACTTGTCCAACCGTCTAAGCAAGTGAATGAGGTAAATATTTCTGCTCTTAAATAACAAATTACTGGTTTAACTACTCTTGTTTGTCAATTAGCAGTAGGCAATATGCAAACTGTAAAAGCATGTGAAATTTGCTCGGTAGTTGGGCACCAAACTGATGCCTGCCCAACTCTTCAAGAAGTCGAACAAGTCAACATGGCTGGAGGTTTTTCTGGACAACCTCAAGGTAAGTATGATCCATTTTCTAATAAATATAATCCTGGATGGAGGGATCACCCGAACCTTAGCTATGGGAACTCACAAGGGAACCAGTTTGTTCAAAATTGTCCCAATTTTCAGCAGTATAGACAACCATTTCCTTCAAGACAACAGCCAGTCCAAAGCTATAGCTCAGGTATGAATCTAGAAGATATTGTTAAATCTCTTGCTACTAACACTTTGCAGTTTCAACAAGAAACACAACTATTCCAACAAGAGACAAGAGCTAGTATTCATCCAACAAAGGCTAGTATTCAAAACTTAGAAAGGCAAATGGGCCAACTAGCAACTACGGTAAGTCGGTTGGAAGCACAGAGTTCTGGCAAATTACAATCTTAAACGGTTGTTAATCCTAAAGATAATGTAAGTGCAATTACTGTGAGAAGTATGTCGCTGGAAAAGAATGTTGATTTAGACAAGGAAACAAGTGTAGGAAACATTGCCAACAATAAAGAGACGTCTCAAGGTAATCTTCTTTTTCTGATTATGAACCAGTACCCCCTTTTCCTCAAGCTCTTTTAGAAACAATAAGAGGAAACTCAAATAATGATATATATAAGACATTTCGTGAATGTGAGGCTAATAAACTATTTTTAGATTCGATGGAAAAAGTACCTCGCTATGCAAATTTTCTAAAAGAGGTACGCACTATGAAAAAGAAACAAAATAATGAAATAATTGAGGACGTGAAAGTGAAAGAGAATGTCTCTATGGTTAGTCAAGACAATCTTCCTAAAAAGTGCAAACATCCAGGTATGTTTACTATTCCATGCATGATAAATGGGGTTAAACTTGAAAATGCTATGTTAGATTTAGGAGCTTCTATTAATGTCATGCCATATTCTGTTTATGTTTCTTTAAATCTTGGACCCCTGAATAAATCTAGTATAATAATTCAATTAGCTGATGGATCTACTAAATTTCCTAGGGGTGTGATTGAAGATTTGCTTGTTGAAGTTAATAACTTGGTTTTTCCTGCTGATTTTTATGTGCTTGATATGGAAAATGATAACAAAATTTTTCATATTTTGTTAGGAAGGTCATTCTTAAAAACTGCAAAAACAAAAATTGATATTCATAGTGGTATGCTTACAATGGAGTTTAATGGTAAATTTGTGAGTTTTAATATTTATGATACCATGAAATTTTCTAGTGATGATAATTTGCAATTTCTATTGATTCTTTGAAGTTTGTTAAATTTGATGCAATTGCTTCGAATGAAAAAGAAAAAAATAATAAATCATTTTTTGACCACTAATCTGCATGAAGAGACCATTTCTTTGAATAATTGTAATCATCGAAGGTACTCAAAAGATGGAAATTTAAAGAAATATCATTCTTTTTATTCCAAAGGCGCTGCTTGGGAGGCAACCTAAGGTGTGTTTGTTCCATTCTTTTTTTTTTATTCCCTATTCTCATTCAATAACCCTTTTTCTGTGCATTTTTATTCAACATTGGGGACAATGTTGGTAATAAGTGTGAGGGAGATGATTTAGTTTTATTATTTGTTTGCTTGTGTAAAAAGAAAAAAAGTTTTATTATTTGTTTGCTTATGTCAAAATTTTCAAAAAAATTTTACTAGTATTTTATGCAAAATAAGTATTATTTTGAAGAATTATTATATTTTTCCTTTCTTGGAATTCATAACATGATTGAATAAATAGTTTGGCAAGTTGTGATTAGTTTGTTAGCATTTCCTGTTTGATATGTAGTGGCAATATTGAGTAAGCAATAAACCTGTGAGTGTTTTGAGCCATTGACTGACACTCCGGTCTATTTTCTTTCTATTGTGTGATTTCTTCCATAATTTTATTTCTCTAGAACTTGCCTTGATTCTCTTTTAAAGCTAATTAGACCATGCATGATTCAAGTGTGATTAAGGCCATTATTTGATCTTGAGCCTCACTAGCCAAATAACCGGTTTACCCTATGATTTATTTCCCCTTGTTAACCACTTTGAGCTTTATGGCCATTCGTTTCTTTATTTTGAACCACATTACAAACCTTTTATATCTAAAAATAATGCATTCACCCAGCTGAATAACTAGTGGAGCGAATTTTGGATTATTCTTGTAATCTACGTGAGTTTGTGAAGAATAAGTGTGGACGAGACCATTTGTTTTGTTAATGTGATTGAGAGTGAGACGGGTTGTATCTTCATTACCAATTTGTCGTTGGCCTTCTATGAAAAAGAAAACGAAGACGGTTCATGATTCCAGGAAATAAAAAGTATTAAAATTGAAAAAATGAAGAAATGGGAGAAATGATGAATGTATGTTGAAAAAAAAAATGTTGCTGAAATTTCTGAGAAA